GTTTTAAAAAGTAATTAATCTTGAACTAATTCTCCACTATAACTTATCCCAGTGACAACCAAGGTAAAAAAGATTCTTCAATAACTGATGTAGAGCCTTGACATCTTGAATGACCTATCAAAGGCTATTCTCTTCTTTACCTTTGTCACTGGGCTCAGGAGTCTCTTCTCTCTTCACCTGCTCATCACATTTACCAGCTGTCTGAAAGCAAAGTTGTTAATAAAGTTCTATAGGATTTTATTAAGAATTACAGTCACTATCACTGCTTAGGCTAACACATTTGTCTTCAGCTAGATACAGGGTATTAATAGATGGCTCAAGCCGCTGCCTGGTATCTGGGTAAGGAACCACCAGGGACAACTCATAACCTGAATACTCGAGAGAGTGTAAACCCAACACTCAGGGTCTTAAAATAATTGAGAAGAATATGCTACCTTTCCATAACATCAAGAAATGATAAGATATCCTAGTCTTCTCGGATAGGGACGAATAAATGGAAGTCTCGTCTCCTGCAGGGTTAGGGGCAGGAGACGTTAATTTCCCAGGATAGGGACGAATAAATGGAAGTCTCGTCTCCTGCAGGGTTGGGGGTAGGAGACGTTAATTTCCAAAAATGGAGATTACTGTGTGATGGTGTCCTCCCCTGGGGTGGGATGGTGGAATGTACAGGCCCCCATTTAAACCAGCTTCAAACTGAACTGGGCTCGCCTGTCTAAATATCGTAAATACATACATACATTTAATTACTGTGAAATTTGGAAATAATGTCGGAAATATAAGGAACCCAAAAAATGTCCCGGATTTTTGAATTTTTTCCTTTTTTCTAGATATATTTCCTCTACATTATAAAAAATTGCTAAGAGCGCTGCTATGAAGTTAAAAAAGGGTAAAAAACAAGAGAGTATTAAAATACAAATCCCAGACATCCTTTTTTTACAACTTGGTATGACGTAGGTGATATGCTATGGGGTTTAGGGTTTGGGGGCGAAAGTCAATTAAAAATCACTCACTCTCTTTGTTAGACATTAATTTATGTATTAAACCTGATTTAAGAGGCTGTCTCTCTTATTTCCACCCGGTCAATATCGCGTAAAAAAATAATTTTGCCTGAAACTCTGTCAACAGAAAGAATTACTTAGGAAAGAACTAAATTAGGTTTGGTTTAATTCGAAATAATTTTCTGACTGCGTTAGGGCCACAGTTATTTCCCAGTCCGTAGGGACCGTGGCAACGTCTCGAAAATTGAAAAATAGGCATATTTTGTAACATTGTAAAATATTTGTTTCGAATACTTAAGCCAACAAATTTGTATCAGATTGCTTAAAAACCTTTCTAGTTTGCCAAGAAAGTTAGAATTTGCCCTCTCAATAGATCTGAAAAGGCGAATTTTAGCATATTCTGACCCCTATAAATCGCCATCGGCCGATGGCCGTTAATAACCTTGATTTAGACGTTAAGTTTTGGGATTTGGGACCTGGTTGACAACTCTATCCTACAAAGCCGTTAAATTTAGACCTTTATAGGCAAAAAAATGCAAAAACCCCTGTACGTTTTCATTTTTTCAAAAGTTATGACCGCTTGAATCAGCACATGTACGAGTATTCGCAATTTTATCACCTACACCAATATTGAACTACTGGAGCAGATTTTGTCATAAATACAACTTACCCGCTTTGCAGCCCGGCTTCATGGCCAACTTCAGTTTTTTGATAATAACCAAATTTCTGAAATCCATGACAACCTCCACAAATTGCTAGGTATTCCCTTCGAAAAGTAGGTTGCATCCATCGTGATTCGATCGTGGTATCAATGAAACAAATGGTCGGAATTATGGCCACATTTTGCAGTTAATTACCCATTTAATATCGCTTCCGAGGTGAATTTTTCTAGAATCAGAATATGAACTCTCCATGTCTGGAAGCTGAGGGGGAAATGAAGGTTTTAGGCTTCTGAAGTGAAGAAATAATCGCTTAAATTTAGATCACGACGATCCA